GTGCTGCTGCCCAGGCGGGTCTTGAACGTGCGGGTTCAGGCAATCCACTCACCTCAGCCTCCCAAAGGCGCGGGATTACAGGCTGAGCCACCGAGCCCGGCCTAACTTTTCTTTCTTAAAAAAAAAAAAAAAAAAGAACTAGAGTTACTCAGCAAGTTAATGCTCTTGATTTTTTTTTTTTTTTTTTTGAGTCAGAGTTGCCAAACTTGGAGTGCAGTGGAATGCTCACAGCCACCCCAGGGTTGATTTGCTTGGCTCTGGCAATCCGTCTGCCTCAGTTTTCCAAGTAGCTGAAACCACAGGTGTGCTACCATGCCTAGCTAGTTTTTGTGATATATTGTAGAAAAGAGGTCTCACCAAGTTGCCTGGGCTGGTCTTGAACCCCCAGGCTCACGTAATCCTCCTGCCTCTGCCACCCAAAGTGCTGGGATTACATGCTGAGCCACCGTGCCTGGTACCTTGTTTTGTTTTGTTTTAGTTAGGGTCTCACTCTGTCACCGAGGCTGGAGGCAGTGGCATGAACACTTAACCTTCTGGGCTCAGGTGATCCTCCTGCCTCAGCCTCCCGAGTAGCTGGGACTACAGATGTGTGCCACCATGCACGGCTAATTTTTTTGTTTTTAGTAGAGACAAGGTCTTGCTATGTTGTCCAGGCTAGTCTCGAACTCCTGGGCTCAAACAATCCCCTTACCTTGGCCTCCCAAAGTGGGATTGCAGGTGTGAGCCACCACACCTGGCCAATGCTCCTGGTTTTTAATGGTCAATAATGGATACTATAAAGATAATAGAAATAGCTAATATTTGCCGAGCACTTAATATAGCCTAGACACTTGCTGAGTAGTTTATTCATCATAATACAGTTCATCCTATGAAACTGGTGCAATTACTGTCTTCATTTTACAGATAGGGAAACTGAGCCATGGGATTAAATAGTTTGCCCTGTTGGCTGGACTTGGTGGCTCAACCTGTAATCCCAGCACTTTGGGAGGCTGAGGCGAGTGGATCGCCTGAGCCCACTGGTTTGAGACCAATCCAGGCAACTTGGCGAGACCTCGTCTCTCCAAGAAATAAAAAATTAGCTGGGCATGGTAGCTCACGCCTGTAGTTCCGGCTTCTTGGAAGCCTAAGGCAGAAGGATCACAGAGCCCAGCAGGTCAATGCTTGGGTGGCCATGAGCGCGTCACTGCACTCCAGCCTAGGCAACATAATGAGACTCCACCTCAAAAAAAAAAATTTGCCCTGTCACACTGCAGGGACGGGCCTTCACACTCAGGCAATCTGGCTCCAGAGAACATAACCGTGTTTTTATGCTACTTCCCAGTGTAGCATAGAGACAAAGAGCCTGGGCCCTGGAGTCAGCCACAGCTGGACAGGAAACCATGCTCTCCCTCCAGAATTTGTGGGACCTTGGGCAAGTCATTTCACTTCCCTGAGCCTCATATCTCTAGTATGCAAAATGGGACTAGGGGCCGGGTGCAGTGACTCACACTTGTAATCCCAGTGCTCTGGGAGGCTGAAGCAGGAGGATCACTTGAGACCAGGAGTTCAAGACCAGCCTGAGCAACACAGCAAGATCCTGTCTCTACAAACAATAAAAAGAAAAATTTGCGCCAGCTGGGCTCAGTGGCTCAGTCTGGAATCCCGTGCCTTTGGGAGGCTGAGGTTAGTGAATTGCCTGAGCCCGCGGGTTCGAGACCCGCCTGGGCAACTTGGCGAGACCTCATCTCTACAATAAATCAAAATCAGCCAGGCATGGTAGCGTGTGCCTGTAGTTCCAGCTACTTGGAAGGCTGAGGCGGAAGGATCGCCGAAGCCCAGCAGGTTGAGTGCTCCCAGCCACTGCACTCCAGTCTGGGCGACAGAGTGAGACTCCAACCCCCCCCCCAAAAAAGAAAAATTTGCCAAGCATAGTTATGTGCACCTGTAGTCCCAAGTATTCAGAAGGCTAAAATCGGAGGATCATCTGGGCCCAGGAGCTTAAGCTACCGTGAGCTATGATTGCACCACTGCACTCCTGCCTGGGAGACAGAGCAGGACCTCATCTCTACAAAAAAACAAAAACAAAATGAAACTAAGTACAGTCCCTGACTCAAAGAGCTGTGCTGAAGATTAAACAAGATTATGCATGGAAGTACCTTGCATAGTGCATTCCACATAGTGACTGCTAGAAGTAAAAAAAAAAAAAAAAAAAAAGGATAATTTGCTTTTGTTTTAGAGGTGAGGAAACTGAGGATCGGGAGGCCAAATAGTATGCCCAAGGTCCTGCAGCCAGAATGTGGCTGGGGATAGGGACTGAACCATGGCTACCTGCCTCTAATGTCTCACTCTCAGCACACTGTCTCAGCAGCATACCAGCCTCCATCTAGGATACAGAACAGCCAGGTCACTGATGAATCCAGCCTAGTGATTCTTTGTTTTGTAGAGACGGGGTCTATGTTGCCCCGACTGGCCTCCAACTCTCCACTTCTGCCTCTCAAAGTGCTGGGATTACAGGTGTGAGCCACTGTGCCCTGCCAGAAATACATGATTGTATCTCTACAGGCAAATTCCTACAGGGGGCTTCTGGGCTGCAGGGAGGCCCTTTCTCCCTAAGGGGTGGCCTATGCCTGGGAGCCTCTGGTGACCCAGGCTTAGTGTTGTGCTTCTCTTCCAGGCCACCGTGCAGATGGAGGGTGGGAAGATGGTGGTGAACTTCCCCAACTATAGCCAGACCTCGGAGATCGTGGGTGACAAGCTGGTGGAGGTGAGTGTCCTTTTGGTTCCTGGGACAGTCACTGAGCATTTTCCTGCCCTCAGCCATAGACCTCGGAGGTGGGCCTCTGGGCAGCTTCCTGTGTGCCAGGCTCTGTGCTGAGCTGGGTGCACGTGACCTTACTTGGTCTTCACAGTAACCCAGTGAGGTGGAGTTTTTTCTTTTCTTTGAGTTGGAGTCTCACTCAATCACCCAGGCTGGAGTGCAGTGGTCAGCATCTTTACCACATTCAGTCTGCATGCTGACTCCTGGATCAAACTGGGAAACTGAGGCCCAGAGAAGTGGTGCACCTGACTCCCATCTACTCAAGGCTGGAATTGGAGGCTGGCGTTCCTTCAACTGTGTCCCTGGCCACCTTGGGCCCAGTCTGGGGTGGGACACTGACTCCTTCTGTTCTGACTGCTTCTTTCAGGTCTCCACCACAGGAGGCGTGACCTATGAGCGCGTGAGCAAGAGACTGACTTGAGCATCCTTGCCGGGCCCAAGGGGCTGCAAACCCGCCAATAAAACTGATTTAAGGAAAGACACTGCTCACTCCTCTTTGTCTTGTTTCTGGTGTCTTGGGCAGCCTCTGGCTAGGCAGGGGTGGGAAAGCCCCAAAGACTGTCATGCAAGCCAAACACTGACCCTGAGATCCCTGTGCAGTCATTTCATTGCAGAGGGAGACATGAAGGTGGGCAGCAGTGTTCCTGAACGCTGGGAGAGGCCAAGGGTGGTGCAGAGGAAGTGCAGTGGGCATACTTCTGTGGCCCCGGTTCCCACCCTGTACCCACTACTCTGTGTTGCTTGAAGGCTCCTTTTTTTTTTTTTTTTTTTGAGTTGGGGTCTCACTCTGTTGCCCAGGCTGGAGTGCAGTGGCTCAGGTGATCTTTCCACTTCATCCTCCCAAGGAGCTGGGACTACAGGCATGCACCACCATGCCTGGTTAATTTTTTGATTTTTTTTGTAGAGAAAAGGCCTTGTTATGTTGCCCAGGCTAGTCTTGAACTCTTGGGCTCAAGCACTTCTGCTGTTTTGTCATCTCAGAGTGCTGGGATTATAGACATGAGCCACTGCCCGCCTAGCCACTGAAGTATCCTTTAAAAGAACAAAGATGGTTAGGCGCGGTGGCTCACACCTATTATCCCAGCACTTTAGGAGGCTAAGGTGGGAGGATCACTCAAAGCCAGGAGTTTGAGGCCAGCCTGGGCAACATAGTGAGACCCTGTCTTTACAAAAAAGAAAAGAAAAGAAAAAATTAGCTGGGCACGGTGGAGGGCGCCTGTAGTTTTACCTACTTGGGAGGCTGAGGTGGGAGTATTGCTTTAGCCCAGGAGGTCGAGGCTGCAATGAGCTGTGATCACACTACTGTACTCCAGTTTCAGTGACAGAGCAAGATCCATTCTCAAAAAACGAACAAAGAAAGAAAGAAAGAAACAAAGTTCGGGCTCGGTGGCTCAGCCTGTAATCCCATGCCTTTGGGAGGCTGAGGTGAGTGGATTTGT